GGGAGCTTTCAATGCAATGGTCGGAGAGTGCGGGACTCGTCGGTAAGCCCAGTGTATTCTGAGCGTGCATACCGACCCCGCCCACTTAATCCGCACCCCTCGTTCTTCCCAAGGTGCAACAGCGAGGGATGGCGGATACTGTTAAGTTTTACTTGACACCCTTCCCTTTTTAGTGCTTCCTGCGTCGTTTGGCCTTCCCAGCCTCTGTACCATGTTTCTCTTTCTCCTACATAATACTCTTAACTAGGGTTAGGAAATCCTTCTTTCTACTCAGATGGTCCTTTAGATCCCTTACAATGTTGTTGTCTTCGATACAGCCCCATATGCGCACGTATCGGTCCCTGTGGACAGCCCACCTACGGCAAACTACGTACATGTTGGACGCATTGTCTACGATATCTGGTTCTGAACAGAAACAGCACTTCGGTGTACTGGCTTTGCCGATGCGGTGCATCTATTGAGCAAAGATGTGCGTAGCTCGGTATGTCAGGAATATAGTCTAGTAATGGCCTGTTCCCATAACGGTGATGTATATAATATGACAGCCTCAGACACCCTATAATAGCACATCCTGGAAGACAAAGAGGCACCCTCACATTGGGAATTATTTGTGAGAGGGCATCGGCCACTCTTGACGCCTTGGCGGTGATCCTGTCAACATGCTCAACAAAAGTACTAGGTGTTTTACTTTTGCGCCCGGTAAGATGAACGGCCTCCATCTTGTGTGCCATCACCGGATCGGCCTGTCTCATCCAGACGACAATCGACTTGATAATAGAATTGGTCTTATCTATAAGTCTACACTGGTTGGCATCAGTGGATACCGCCGCCAGTTCGTCTGCGTAGTAAATTAGCTTTACACTGTTAGGGACCCGAATGGACAACATACCATCGTAGCCCAAATTATAGAGAAGAGGCCCGGAGACGAACCCCTGAGGAACATCTGCGTAAACCCCTTTGGTAAGCAGACCAGCATCAGTAGTCTCGTAGATTATGTTGAAATCCCCTAAATGACTCCCCATACCTTTATCATAAGAAGAGAGAGGGGATGTGGGTCTTGTTATTTCGCTGAGGGAAACGGGGCCTTCCCTCAGCCACGCGAATGAACGGGTAACCCGCCGCGATTCGGCGGATGCGCCAGCTCCTTCTGCCGCATAACATGCTCGCAGAACATGCATGCTGGACAAAACTCCAGCGTGTGCTGCGCCGTGTCCCGGTCCCCGTCACAGTGCCAGCATCGGGCATCACGCTCCCGCTTAATGCGGCACAGGTACTTTCCGAAGCAGCCATGCCCGGAGAGCACCTGTGTCACGCAGAAGGTGAGAGGCACTCCACCGCTGTCCCGCCATGCCTCCCAGCCTAACAGAACAGCCCCAACGACGCGGTGGGACGCCAATTCCTCGTCTAAAAAACGGAGTCACCAGCGCTCCCCCACACGCCGCCAGACCTAGTCCTCGGAGCTCCATACGGACTCCAGGGTGTCAGGGTCCCATTTCCTGCCGGCATCCACACCCCAACCGTCAGACCTTTCCCAGAGATAAATATCTCGCAGAGCGAGGGCCTGAAGGTCAAAGGGCGGAAAACCCGCAAGGACTGCGGCCGCCGCTCACCAGAGGGTGCAGAGCGGTATCCTCTTACGATTCTAATGGCAGACAACCTGTGCAACCGGCCTAAAAGGAGCCGGTTGGCGTACAGGATGATACTGCGCACCACCCCCGCGTACCCCGGGGCCCATCCAGTTCCAGCGCACTCAGGGACAGGTGGTCGACGAGGCGGGAACTGACTGTCCTTTCGAATAGCTTTCTCACCTCGTCGAGCAAACAAATCGGCCTATACGCCGAGGGCATCCCGGCAGGCCTCCCAGGCTTACCCATGAGGGTCAGCCGAGCCGCCTTCCAATCCCGCGGATATTGCCCGCGGGCCAGGCAGCTGTTAAACAACCGCCTGACCCGTGGGGTGAGGGCCTCCATCGTCGCGCCCTGGGCGCGCCCAGGCAATCCGTCCGGCCCAGGCAAGACTTTCTTGGCACACATGCGTTTAACCGTTTTCTCGAGCTCTTCGTTGCCAATTTCGAGCTCTCTCGTCCACCCACCTGTAGCCGGGACGTTATTAAACAGTCCACGGGGGAGAGGTGGGGCGTACCGTCCCCCTCTGGGAACAAAGTCCGGACCATGGTGTTCAG